TTTTTTAAATCTTTGGATGCTTTCATATCCATGCTACTTGAAGGAGTTTTGTTTATTTGTTATATTATACAGTATATATTTTTGAATATATTGTGATCCTTATTTAGCAGCTGCACTTTAAACTTGGAAGGGTTCCATGTTTACATTTGGTATTTTATATACCAATATTTTCTTTATGTCTGTATTTATTTTAATTTGCTGCTACCATTGAAACTTGAAGTGTTTTTTTTCTACTTAGATTTTGAATTTATATTGTGAGCCTGATTATGCTGCTGCACTTTCAACTTGGAACTTGTGTTCCATTTTTACATTTGGATTTCAAACTTGAGAGTTGTTTTTTACTTGTTATATTGTGAGCCATACTTTGCTGCTACACTTTAAACTCAGAAGTGTTTAATTTGTTATTTCATATTCCCACCATTACCAATATTTGTTATGTAAAATTACATAAACTATTCATTCATTGAATTTACAGAAAATGTGCTATATCGGGATATATATCGTTTTTGGGATATAAAATGAGCTATGTCGGGATATGAGATTTTGGTCATATCGTCCAGCCCTAATTATAATGAATATAACTCAAACTTCTATGAAAAGACCGTATCTGTACACCATTCAGTGAGAGAATAATGTGATTGTGAATTTAAATCGGTTGCTATTGTTGTGGAAATATAATCAGGACAAATCCTGGAAAGCTGTTGATGTAGCACCTTTCTCCTTATGAAAGTAACACAGCGATTATTCAACTAATGAGAATTTGGTCGGACAAGAGCATAGCGATCAAATAATCGACAAGTCGACCAGGAGACAACAACTCGGCGGAATTCCACAGAACTGCAGGTTTTACAGTGTTAATAAGAAATTAATCTATACCCCCTTTCCCACCACAGGAAGTTTTCTCATTTACCTGGGATTTAAAAAAACCTCCACATTTCCACCGAAATTACCCAGGTAAAAAACTTTCCCTCAGCCCCAAACTTTCCCTGAAAAAAGTACCTAGTAGGGGGGTAGGACTTTTCAGACTACCCGGAATTCTTGAGGTGCGGGGCAGTGTGCCAAAAAACGCTGACTGGTGGAACACACACGCAGCGTTCCGCACTTCCGTGTCAGTGTGTCTGCAAACTTTATTTAATTTCTACAAGCTCCACTTCGTTTCTGTTTTGATGAAGGATGGGTGACGAAACCCCATGCTAAATTAGCCCCGAGGCTTAACTATGAAAGACCGCAGTATTGGTAAGTGCTAACGGTGTACACACACACACACACACACACACACAGTGGAAACGAAGTGAAGATAACTCGAAAATGACTCGAGTTGACCGCAGCTACATTCGTTACTGTAAGTGAAATTAAACCTAAGCAAGTAAGAAGCCAATACTTTCTCAATACGTGTTCAGCAAGTATGAACATGTAAACATGCAGACAGCAATATTCAATATGCTCCGTCCACAGTCTCTCATCCACCGACACTAACGTTATGTCTTACACAAGGACAGCACGCTAGTTCAGCTGATAGCAAACTGTTACTAATAAGCTCAAGACAGCTGTCTGTATGTAGACTAACTTAGTTTGAAACTTATCTGAAAATACTTTTAAACTGAGCTGCTGGCTGAGACAAACAGCCTCAACTCTCTACACCTGCATGTAACCAGCCAAGCTGGGGGAGCCAAATACAGGGCACAGGCCGAATCATCATCACGCTAATTTGAATAAATTATCCGTAACTTTGAGGTGTAGTGGAAACGCAAACCACACAGATTACCAGGAATTATTTTACCCAGGTAAATAAATTCCTGGTAATAAAAGTTCCAGGAAATGTTGGTGGAAAGGGGGCTTATGTGGATACATTATGCAATGATTTATGAATACTTTTCTTGTATTCAAAAATTTCTGCGGTGTAATAAGATGCATTTATGGGACTGACATTCCATCATAGCTCCATCTGAGAATAAAGTAGATTACTTGAATAGGAAATCATTTCACAGCAATTCAGCAATTCACTTAACCTCATCCTAATATTGCAAGAATGGCACAAGTAGGCTATAAGCAAACTTTTTTTACCGGTCTGTACAATATTTTTGTGTTTGCCATAATAGATTTTTTTTCCATGTTCAAAGTCTTCATTCGCGATCATGAAAATCTCTGATTCAGTTGGGATGAAGTAAGTGGCTTTGCTTTTAACTCCGCTTTCTGACACTGAAAATCATGTTATCTGCACTCCACTGATGATGTCGTTTGGTGCTCATCGTGAACGCGCTTCACGCATGCTGAACATACCCAGAGTTGATTGAACTAATTCTGATCAGCTGTTTGGAGCTGAAAACTCAGAGTTTCCCAGATCAGGCTCAGTCAACCCAGAGATGGGGATTAAGCTCAGAGTTTGTTGAGCCTGCTTTCTGAAATAGGGCCCTGGAGGTGTGTAGTGAAGTGTCCAGGCTTCTTTCCGTCCCTTCGTCCTTTTCTGACTACCATTTATTATCTAACTTAAATGTTAATTGGGGAAATATGTTCCTCTTTGCAAAGTCTTTTAGTCTAATAAATGGCAATTAACGACTCAGAACACCCGTAAAGTGGAGTACAACAGGCAGAGTCATAAGTCCCTGTGCCGTCCGTTACACTGTATATCAGCACGTCTCCTTTCCAGTCAGATTGCTTGGTCGGAACCAATTGTTGCACAACAATCTGTCGAATCGTAAGTCAACTTCAGTGTCGTCAAAAGAATTACATTTTAACACGACACACTTCCACTGAATAGAGTTTGATGTTAAGTCTGGGTCTGACTGGGTCCGCTAAGTTACTTCCGAGTTTATCTGGTTTTATAATGCAGCTAGCAGCTTATTTTTAACGGTAACCTCCGGTAAAACAAACAAACAAAACAAAAATAACAGACGCCATTACTACACCAGTCAACAAGACAGGCGAGTGCCCACGAACTAAGACTCCACTAGGTCTGCACTATCTGTGTGTAGCCGTAAACCAAACACTGGTAATAATGATAATAGTAATGTGGTAACTTACACGTTCTGTTCTTCGATGCTGCGCCGCGTTCCCGGTTCAAGCTCAATTTGAAATGTCGCTCGACCCGAGACGTCACTGCCACCTCCTTCTTCTTCTTTGTGTTTTCTGGCGGATTGCAATACCAACTTTAAAGGTGCATACCGCCACCTACTGGACCGGAGTATGTAAGACAGGGTCTAGTTTTACATAACATAATATCATGTATAAATAATAAAGAAACAAAACAAAATTAAAAAAGAAGAAAAAAACAAAAAAAAATAAACGCCAACCGCTATATTCTATAAAACAAACAAAGTGTTATAAAGGTAATCTATTACCCCTCTCTGTATCTCCCACATCTCTTCTTCTTCTTCTTCTTCTTCTTCTTCTTCTTCTTCTTCTTCTTCTTCTTCTCTCAATTTATTGGCGGATCGCAAACAACTTCCAGGTGTATACCGTCACCTACTGTACAAGAGTGTGCAACATCATGTCATTTAGCCTATTTCTTAAATCCTACTCAACAGCCTAGTGTCCTTAAAGAAATGAATAAGTGCCTTCCTGGTGTTTTTAACCCCCTCTCCCTCTGTTCCCAGTATCCCACTCAAATTCCACTCACGTCCTGCCTCTCTGACTTTATCCTGTAGCCTTTCTCGTTCTATTTCATACATGTTACAGTACAGTAGAATATGTTCAGCGTTTTCCATACTCCACAGTTCTCACACTTGTCACTATTCCTTTTCCCCATAACATACAGCGTGCCATTTAGTTCTGTGTGGTCTTGTTATGACTCTTTCCTCCCTTCTGTTCCTTTCTTTATAATTCTTTATTATGATAGACTTTTATATTTCGTGGTATCCCTGTCCTTTCTGGTCTTCCTTCCACCTTTTCTGCCATATTTCCAATCCCTTCTTCTTTATCACTGCTTTCCCTTCTCCTTTTCCTAGTGGAACTGGTACTGTTATTTCCTTTCCTAGAGCTGTTTTTGCTAATTTGTCAGCACACTCATTCCCTGCTATTACCACGTGTGCTGGCACCCAACAGAACTGTACTTCTGTACCACCCCTGTGTATTCTGAACAAACTGTAAATGTCAGTGAGCAAATCTTCTCTTCCGGATGATGTTGATTAAATACTTTCCACTACGGCTACTGAATCTGTGCATACCACCACCCTATCTGGTCTGACCTCTTCCACCACCTATAACCCAATAATGACTGCCACCATTTCTGCTGTATATGCTGATAGTCGGTCTGACAATCTTTTGGAGATGGATATATTATACTCAGGGCTGTACACACCAATTCCCACATGTTCCTGTTGATTTTTTACCCGTCTGTGTATATTTTCATGTAGTTGTGATAGCTATTTCTCAGGTAACAACTTGATTTGATGCCCACTTCATCCATTATCCATTCTTTTTTTCTGTTCCAGAATGCTGATGTCTATATTTATTTCTGGAAAGAGCCAAGGAGGTATACTACTGTTTGGGATTGCTTTACTGAACTCTAACATCTCCATTCCATATGTTACCAGTCTCTCTTCTCTTGACCACCCAAACCCCTGCCTCTGGAATTTAGAATATTCCCAGCAATCCTGCAGTATCATCGTTGTAAGGTTTTCCTCCCCACTCCCTTTTAGTCTTATCCAATATGCAAGTGCAAGTTTTTCTCTTCTTAACTCCAGTGGTATCTCTCCTGCTTCTACTAACACTGCATTTGTGGGTGTTGACCTAATAGCTCCTAAACATATTCTCAGTGCTCTATACTGTAGTCTGTTTACTTTTTGTAATGATGTCTTTGCTGCTGCTACATATATTATACAACCATAGTCTATTGTTGACCTCATAATTGTCCTATATACAGTACAGGCCAAAAGTTTGGACACACCTTCTCATTCAATGCATTTTCTTTATTTTCATGACTATTTACATTGTAGATTCTCACTGAAGGCATCAAAACTATGAATGAACACATGTGGAGTTATGTACTTAACAAAAAAAGGTGAAATAACTGAAAACATGTTTTATATTCTAGTTTCTTCAAAATAGCCACCCTTTGCTCTGATTACTGCTTTGCACACTCTTGGCATTCTCTCCATGAGCTTCAAGAGGTAGTCACCTGAAATGGTTTTCCAACAGTCTTGAAGGAGTTCCCAGAGGTGTTTAGCACTTGTTGGCCCCTTTGCCTTCACTCTGCGGTCCAGCTCACCCCAAACCATCTCGATTGGGTTCAGGTCCGGTGACTGTGGAGGCCAGGTCATCTGCCGCAGCACTCCATCACTCTCCTTCTTGATCAAATAGCCCTTACACAGCCTGGAGGTGTGTTTGGGGTCATTGTCCTGTTGAAAAATAAATGATCGTCCAACTAAACGCAAACCGGATGGGGTGGCATGTCGCTGCAGGATGCTGTGGTAGCCATGCTGGTTCAGTGTGCCTTCAATTTTGAATAAATCCCCAACAGTGTCACCAGCAAAACACCCCCACACCATCACACCTCCTCCTCCATGCTTCACAGTGGGAACCAGGCATGTGGAATCCATCCGTTCACCTTTTCTGCGTCTCACAAAGACATGGCGGTTGGAAGCAAAGATCTCAAATTTGGACTCATCAGACCAAAGCACAGATTTCCACTGGTCTAATGTCCATTCCTTGTGTTTCTTGGCCCAAACAAATCTCTTCTGCTTGTTGCCTCTCCTTAGCAGTGGTTTCCTAGCAGCTATTTGACCATGAAGGCCTGATTCGCGCAGTCTCCTCTTAACAGTTGTTCTAGAGATGGGTCTGCTGCTAGAACTCTGTGTGGCATTCATCTGGTCTCTGATCTGAGCTGCTGTTAACTTGCGATTTCTGAGGCTGGTGACTCGGATGAACTTATCTTCAGAAGCAGAGGTGACTCTTGGTCTTCCTTTCCTGGGTCGGTCCTCATGTGTGCCAGTTTCGTTGTAGCGCTTGATGGTTTTTGCGACTCCACTTGGGGACACATTTAAAGTTTTTGCAATTTTCCGGACTGACTGACCTTCATTTCTTAAAGTAATGATGGCCACTTGTTTTTCTTTAGTTAGCTGATTGGTTCTTGCCATAATATGAATTTTAACAGTTGTCCAATAGGGCTGTCGGCTGTGTATTAACCTGACTTCTGCACAACACAACTGATGGTCCCAACCCCATTGATAAAGCAAGAAATTCCACTAATTAACCCTGATAAGGCACACCTGTGAAGTGGAAACCATTTCAGGTGACTACCTCTTGAAGCTCATCCAGAGAATGCCAAGAGTGTGCAAAGCAGTAATCAGAGCAAAGGGTGGCTATTTTGAAGAAACTAGAATATAAAACATGTTTTCAGTTATTTCACCTTTTTTTGTTAAGTACATAACTCCACATGTGTTCATTCATAGTTTTGATGCCTTCAGTGAGAATCTACAATGTAAATAGTCATGAAAATAAAGAAAACGCATTGAATGAGAAGGTGTGTCCAAACTTTTGACCTGTACTGTATGTCAATTAATGACTGTTTATCTGCCCCCAGTCACAACCTGCCACAGCTCGAAGTAAGTTAATAACCTTTTTGCACTTAGTTTCCAAATGTTCAATATGTACATCCCATGTATATTTGCTATCTAGCCATAATCCCAGGTGCTTAAATTAATTTACCCTCTCCATCGGCTGACCATATAGTTTTAGCTTCTCAGTAACAATCTTGCACTTGTTTGTAAATATCATGTAACATGACTTGCTTGTTGACAGTTTGAACCCCCACTCACATGACCACTTTTCCACTTTATCTATTGCTTTCCCCATATTCTTAATGACATGCAGCCCATTTCTTCCCCTCATCCATATGGCCCCATCATCTGCGTACAGTGCTGATTTGATGCATCATCTAAATTTGCAAATATGTCATTTACCATTACACTGAACAACACAGGACTGATTGCACTCCCCTGGGGAATACCATTTTCCATTTCATAATCCTTAGAAACTTCTGCTCCAACCTTGACCTTAAACTTCCTGCCATAAGGCCATAATCCAATTATATAGTCTCCTTCCAATACCTATTTTACTTAATTTGATAAGCAACCCATCCCTCCACATGGAATCATATGCTTTTTCGATGTCAAAGTATACTATTGCCATTAACTCTTTCATTTTTAGTGTCTTTTCAACCTAGTTACTTACTCTAACTAAAGCATCCATTGTGGATCGTCCTTTCCTAAATCCACTCTGAACATTACTTAGTAAACATCTCTGTTCCAACACATATGACAGCCTCCGAACTATTATCTTCTCCACCCATTTACATAAGTGAGACGTCAAGGCTATGGGTCTATAGCTACCAGGTTTAGCAGGATCCTTCCCTGGTTTATTAAATGGCAGTATTATTGCTCATTTCCCACTACCAACTCCTCTTCTTTTTCTTCTTCTTATGGCGGTTGGCATCCATATGCGTTGCATTACTGCCACCCATTGGATTATATCAGTTTCGCAGTGTAAACTGTTTAGACCATTATGTTTATTATATTGAAATAACATACAGAACAAGTCGGGGAAAGATAGAATTTAGCAGCAATGGTGGAAATTATATTACAACAAAACAACACAATCAAATACAAAGATGATAGTAATAATAGTAAACACAATAGTAACTTTTTGTAATTTTTTAAAGTAATAATAATGATGATTAATAACAATAGATAAATAAATAAGGGATGGCCATGATAATCACAAAAACAACAATAACAAAAAAAACACCACTGTCATCATCACTGCCACAGCATCAAAAACATAACAATAGTACTATATAATCTTATGGTCCTCCTAGAGACAAACATTCAACATAAAAATAATATGTACAATAATGTAAAAAAAATCATAAAACAGTTAAGAAAATAATCTTAAAGTATGTAGTGATGCAGTGGAAGGAGGTGGTTATGCGTTGCTCAGCTGGGCCAATAAAAAATGGGTTATTTGCTTCTTGAAAGGGTTTATACTTGTGCAGGTTCTAATGTGGACTGGTAACATGTTCTAAAAGTGGGGACCTCTGAATCTAATTGAGAACTGAGGGAAAGTAGACCTGAAAAGTGTAGGATGAAGATTATTTGCTGACCTTGTGTTGAAGTGATGGATTTGGGAATT